TGCCGATCTCCGCTATGTTACCCCTGCCGGAATCGCGATTGCGGGCCGTGGACAGGCGATCCCTGTCGCGGCACTCGCGGTCCCGCGACGAGAAGACGCTGTCGCGCGATTGCTGTTGCTGCTGCTTCAGGGCTGCGAACAGCGAAGTAGCCTGCAATACGAAAATGGAGAGATCGAGAGTTCGATCAAAGACTGTTGCGAGCTGTTACCTCGTGAAGAAGTCGCAGTGACACTCCGTACATCGTAAACCGTGTCCAAAAATCTTAACTTAAAAACGATTCAGATCAAGATCAAGAACCGGTATTTATATGTATGTACCGGTATATGTAGCGGCAAATTTCGAGATAAGAGGCGAGAGTTGAATGAGAAAGATAGCGCGACGCGAGGCCATGGGGGAGCAAAAGAGCAGCTCCGGGCGAAATATTCATGATATAAATGCCACGTAATGTACATGCGTTAAACTTCTACCGTATTTTGAACAATATTGATCTTATCTAATGGTATTCGAGCGCGGGCCAGCTCGGCTGCTCCATCATCATTGGCTGGCTCGAAGGAAAACTCACTGTTGTCTGAATGACGTCGGTTCGAGTCTCCTCGGCTGTTTACACAGCGGGATTTGTTTTATTAAGTTCCATCATCAAGCAGATTGTCGAGTGTAAAGGCGGAACCGAGCTTCTCTTCTACCCCTGCTTCTCGCGAGGGTCGAAACTTTCAAGCGCGTTCTAGGTATCTCCGATAAGTTCATCATTATTATTGTGTTATTGTATGATATGATGGGGCGCGATATTAGGACGACGCTTTAAGATAAATTTATTGCCTTCCTAAGTGTGTCATTGTAAAAATAATTGAATATTACTAACTCTTGTGCTTCCGGAAATTTTATGTGCAGTTCATAACTAATAAATTCTTTTTAATATAAAAGTACAACTCTTGTCCGTATGAAATGACAAATTTTTTTGCGATAAAATTTTAAGGATTTAAATTTTATTGCATAATAAAAATTATTTGCGATAAAATATTAAGAATTTTATTATAAAACAATTCTATAAAACAAATTTTTCTCCGAGTTTTTCTAAGAGTTTAAGAGATTTCAAATATTATGCGAATGTATGTAAGTTTTATTAATGATTTATTAAACAAGTTAAGTTGTTTTTCACGATATATCAACTGAATTATTATCTATACAAAAACTTTTCTTTCTTTATCGATATGAATATCTTACGACATGTAATAGTAACCGCAAATTGCAACAAGATTAAAACAGATAAGTCATTTATATTATATATCGCTCTAATCAACTGTTTGTTCTTGTAAACAGTTATCTTAAACATATGTTATGTCACGTACAATAACAAGCAAAATGATATACGAGGCACGTTCGGCTGAAAATATTTCCAATTCGAGTGTCCATTGGCCTTGCACTTCGTGCCTTCGTCGAATTGCATAACAAACAATCGTCGCAACAAAGTAATTACCACAAACACACGTGTCTCGGAACGTCAGTTCTGTAAATATTTATCAATGCAAGAATCATCGGACAACAGAACAGCAAAACAACTTGTCAAAGACGTGCGCATGCGTTTTCTATGATGTGTTTTATTTCGCAAAAATATTTTTTCAACTTTTTGCGTTTTTATACAGCAAAATTTCTGCTTTACTATCATTAAAATATCAAATGATGCGAAATCGATGATTCAATTCTAAATAACGAAAACTATCGATGTGCATAATATAATAAAATTTTATTTATAATTATATACTTTCTGATAAAAAAATCTCGCGTTAAGCACTGCAATTCTAAATTGTAAGAGGTAAAAACTGTTTAAAAAAATTATCTAAATAAATTTTTTAATCGAGACTACTTTTGTAGGATTAATCTGTTTCTGGATTTAGCTTTGGATTATTTTATTTACGTACAAGATTATTTAAGTATGAGACATAATTGGTGTCAATTTGCGAACATTACTAATAAATTAGCAGTGCTTACACTTTAGTCTAGCCGACTAAAGTTTGATCTTTCTGAATCAAGCATGTCGTCAGCTATCGAAGACGTTGGCGGAGATAAATTTAAAATACGTTTGCTTTTACACACGGCGCTACGAGACGATTGTCTCTCGGACGGAAGGCCGTGTGTTTCTTGCAAATCCAGCATGCCGAGTCCTATGCTAATCTTATTTGTGTACGATTACGTATGTTTATAACATGCAAAGAAATTCCGCGGCGCGCGTTATCAGTGTTTAGTCAGGAGCGCCAGCGCGTGGCATTTCAGGTCGAAGTCTGCGAAGCAGAGGAAAGAAAGGAAAGGGAATAGAAAACGGCAGAGTCGGAGGCGACGAAGGAAAACAGAAGTAAAGGCACTCGCAGAATTTGGCACGTGTGTCTGAAGCACTTCCGAACTTGCTCTTTCCGTCTTCATACTAGCCTAAGAACCTTAACGTTTCTATTTTGCACGGTCATCAGCCAGTCCAATTCACATCAACACCAATTAAATATTTCGTAGGATAGATTCTGTAATTATTAAATATAACGATTAATATATACTGTGCTACAAAATTGCTACTGAATTTTGATTTATCTCATATTTGCTTGTAAAATAACATGCCTAATGTATATATATATATATATATTATTTCTCTTTAAGTTTAAAAATAATGTTTTTTTCTGTTGATTATAAAGCTAATGACATTAAAGTATATATTAAGCAAATAAATATTCTAGGTTTCTTTCTTTTATACCCTATTTAATTACTTACGAAGATTAATAATTATATGTAATCTAAAATATATCTATTGCATAAATTGCCTGCAACTTCTATTACTGATGAGTAAGAAACCAAGCGTATGCACATTCAGATTGTAAGCGTTTGCCCACGAAATTAATGAAATGCGATGATCAGCAGAATTGTTTAATCCACTTCGGCTCTCTTCCTTGGATCCTTGCAAAGGTCGGCCTTTAATTCCTTAATTAATGCCGATCCTGCGCCTCTCTTAATGAAGAAACGAAGTATCTTAAACCGAAACCGCGACAACGCGGAAGGGATAACGGTTCTCGTTATTCGTCGCGAAAACGTAAGGATTTTCAGAGAAAGGGGGGAGGGATCAAGGAGAAAAGACGATGAAGCTCGACGTGTGTACACGAGAGGAGGGGTGGAAATGGGCAAAGGAAAAAGATATAAGAGTACGGAAGAATGAAAGTATAAGAGCCGACACTGAAGGGCCATCGACTGCAGATAAGAGGGACTCCTAAGACTCTTTTAAGAAAAGGTTAAATAAAGGTCGGAGGCTGCGCTTGTTGTTGGCTGTTCAGATTCCTTCGACCCCCGCCCTCCCCTCTTTCACCCCCCGCCCTTCCCTCTTGCCCTCGCCGGTACCACGCGTAACGCCACTTATTTGAATCCCGGAGGCTTCTTCGAGTTCAACCCCCTCGCCCGGGCTCTCATATCTTTTATATATTAGAATTTTCACCAACGTTTCCTCGCAAAAGCTCCGCTCTGTTTACTGTTTGGATTTATTCCTTTGCTCCCCCGTCGCAGCAACCTCCCTTACCGAAACTCTCGTGGCTGTATATGAGTTCCTTATGTACATCCTCGCCGTGATACTTTCGGTTCTCCACGTTGCCAAACTTTGTACCCTTGTACGCTTCATCTGCTGGCATGAGGATACCCTCGCAAAAATCTGCCGATGTTTAGGAGTTTAGGCAAATCTCTGACTCATCATTATTTTTTATTAAAAATTAAATCTAACAAGTCAATTTTTATAAATGTTTCCCTTATGTAAATAATCTTATCTACATATGTATAACCTACATACAAGAATAATAATTTTCATATCCAATTATAAAAATGACACAAAATGACTACCCCAAGATGAGAAAATTAAAGAAACATATATAAAAATATTGTATGTAATAAAATGAAATTTTCTTTATAGTAATTATTCGTAACTGCAATAATCACTGCGATAATCGGCATTTAATGAGAGGTTTCGATTATTTTACAAGAATCTCCAGAAATTACGCGCTCTATACACAACAAGGATCGAATATAACCACTTAATGACGCAATTGTCATGATTTAATAACGAACAATCAATGCCAATCGTTTTGTAATTGCTCGCTAGGCGGAAAAAGGGAGGATATCGATATCAGCCGATAGGCGGGAATGAATATAAAACGGGTATCGAAATTTCTGTTGTGTAGGCGATTGTTCGATAGCCAACGAGCCTCGGCCGTGTTTCAAACCGGTGAGATATCGTTAGATTTTAAACTCGTTACAAGCACGCTGTCAGGAGTGTTTATTCAGCGCGCTTTTCTACATGTCGACGATGCGCGGACTAAACTACGTGCGTCGAGTCTCGTTCGGTGCTTCGTGTGTGCAGATTCGCTCGCGTTACAGATACTTTTGCACGGGGGAAAAAAAGCCAACGAAACGAGTGGAACGTTTAAACTGATACCGGCATCGGCGATCCACCTGCACGATGAATCCAAATCAGATTCCATGGCGATTCTTTATTTGCATTTTGCATTTACCTGCCTATTTTTCCCTCACAATTTTGATACACATAGTTGTTTTATCGAACATCCAACTACTTACGTATAAATTTCTCAAGTTCAAACTTTAATTCAATTATTTAATCTTCAAGTTTTATGCAAAAACAGTCATATTTAAAAAGTAACTGAGATGAAAATTAAATTTAATTTGTTTAAGAAAATATTTATTTTCTTATATATGCAAATAAGAAATATAAATTACTTATTCTTCAGCTAATTTATACAACAATTATATAAATGTGTGAAAATATTTCTCGATATGATACATATCAAAACAGAATAAGACGGAGGACATCAAAATTATCGTACATACGGACGGTTTCAAAAGTTTTATTCGATACTGCAGATTCTTTTAAGACACAAAAGAATAATGGAATTAAAAACCGGAAGACCGCATTCTCAACTGGGATTAACACCTGGCTCCCTTATTCGCTTTACCTACCGGAATTCTCTTTCTGAGTTTCAGTCGCAGAAGCAAAAAGGGAACAGTAGCGAAGGGCAAAACAAGGGATGGCGAGGTGTTCCTGTCTCTCGTTTCGTATTCACGCGGTCGCGGGCCAATCAGAGGCACGTCTCTTTACACCCGCCTCCTGTTGACGTTTG